AAGGAATTACAGCTAGCCTGCAACGGAATGCTCGGGGGCCAACGGGTTTTACCCCTAACACTTCATTTACGTCGGAGATATTATCATATACCCTGCCCGACAGATTCAAATATCCTCGCATTAAAGAGTATGAAGGGACGGCCAACCCAATCAACCATCTCAATGTATATACCGATGTCATGAATTTGCAAGTTGCGTCGGATCAAGTTATGTGCAAAGCCTTCCCTCAAACGCTAACTAATGATGCTAGGGATTAGTTCTCAACATTGGAGCCCAATTCCATAGCCTCATTCTCAGATTTGGCTGATAAGTTCTCAACTTTCTTTGCAAGTAGCAAGCGTATCAAAAAGATTGCGGCCTCTCTTATGCAACTTCGTCAGGGACCAAATGAAACCCTACGAGGATTTATGACGAGATTTAATAAGGAAAGACTTCAAATACCTGACATTCACATTACGGCGACAATTTTCGCCCTCACCTATGCCATAAAATGTGAAGCCTTCAAAATGTCCCTATCAAAGATCCCGTCGCAGACAGTGACCGAGCTCCTTGCACAGGCTGAAAAATACATTAATATGGAAGAAATGCTGAATCCAAGGAGAATTGATCCTTCTCATGAAAAGGCCGAGAACAAGAGATAGCATGACATCATCTCTCGATCCGAGCATCATCGGGACAAACGCAAGAATGAAGGGCCGCCAAGGCCCATCACTCGGTTGAACACAACAAAGGGAAATATTTTGATGGAGATCAAGGATATGAAAGAGTTGAAGTGGCCTTCAAAAATGAAGTCGTCCCTCGACACAAGAGATAGGAGCAAGTATTGTGAATTTCACCGAGATCATGGGCATACCAAAGAGGATTGTCAAGCCTTGCAGCGGAAAATTGAAGCCCTCATTAAAAGAGGGCTCTTAAGGAATTACACTATTCATGATAAACGTCCGAGGAATGACCGTGGTAATCGGAAAGAGCCTGGAGCCAAAAGCAGTGCTCAACCCACTATCGGGACCATTAATATTATCATTGGAGGCATAGCATCTGGAGGAAACACAAGTAGTGGGCGAAAGCAATATGCCCGCCTACATGCTCATACCCCGAGGGAATCCCATGATAAACTCAAAGACATTACCTTTGGAGCAAGGGATTTGGAAGGAGTACCGTATCCTCATGACGATGCCTTGGTCGTATCTGCAATTGTGGCTAACTTTGAAGTAAAGAGGATTCTGATTGATAATGGGAGTGTAGCAAATATATTCTCACAGGAGACTTTCGCTAAAATGAGGATCTTTCCCAAATAGCTCAAAGCAGTCAAAACTTTTCTACAAGGATTTGGTATTAGAGTCATTATCTCGGAAGGCATCATCGAGCTTCCGCTTACATTGGGTTCTGACAATACACAAATGACGGAGTTCACTCCCTTCCAAGTGGTTAACACTCCTATGGCTTACAACATCATCCTGGGAAGACCCCTACTGAAAAAGATTCAAGCCGTTGTGTCAACTTTCCACCTAGCCATGAAGTTACCAATAGCTCATGGCATCAGAGTAGTTCGAGGAGACCAAACAGCTACTAGACACTGCTATGTTACTAGCATCCGAGGAATGAGTATAGACATCATTCAACTTTTAGAGCTTGAGCTCGAGCTAAGGGGTAGACTTGACTTGGTTGAGGAATTGGAAGTGGTCAAGCTCGAGCATGGAAAAAGGGTAACAATTGGTCGGGATCTCAAGGCCAGCCTCTGGGAGGAAGTCATCAATTGTCTGTCCCGCAACATTGATGTTTTTGCATGGAAGGTCGAGTATATACCAGGGATAGACACTGAAGTAGTAGTCCATAGACTCAACATAAGCCTAGGGGCCAAACCTATTAAACAAAGGAAGATGCAGTTTGCGCCAGAAAGACGTGTGGTCATTCAGGAAGAAGTCGGCAAATTGGTGAAAGCAGGGTTCATAAGGGAAGTCCAATACCTCGATTGGCTTGCTAATGTTGTTCTTGTGAAGAAGACCAATGGTAAATCGAGGGTCTGCATTGACTTTATAGATCTCAACAAGGCATGCCTTAAAGACAGCTACCCGCTCTCCAGGATAGACAATCTTGTGAACAACACATTTGGACATAAGTTGTATAGCTTCCTAGATGCATTCTTAGGGTATCATCAAATCCTCATGGCCAAGGAAGACTAAGAGAAGACTTCATTCATGGCTTCATCCCGTCCTCGAGCTTTATCTCGTCCTTGTATTTGGAAACAAGACCGGGAACGAGGTGGCAACGTTCAAAGTCCTCGGTAAGGGAATTCACCACAGGAACAGTGTCATCCTCGAGATCGACGACCTCAGAAGGAGGTCGAGAAGTGATAACTCGAGGAGTAGGAGATCTTTGGCTTGGCTGCATCACCGAGCTCGAGGGTTGAGGCTGTGCTAGAGACGTTTCGCCAGGCCCCCTCATACTGTGCTCGAGTGGGGTACCTCGAGGCCTTTTCTTACTCTTCTTCTTCGCCGGAAGTTGGCCCTGTGGACGGGCATCAGCCTTTGTGTTAACAAAATTGTGAAGGGCTCGAGGATCAAACGACATACCTGCAAGAACAGAAAACACACACTTTAGAACGAGCACAAGAGCATGCCATTTTGCAAAACCGATACCTCTAATAACTGTCAGGTCTATAACCTCTTCCCCAATCTCTTCATGGTCGAGAAAAGGGGGGTTGAGCCTCACCAGCATCCTTCTATGCTCTTCCAACACATCTGGATACACCTTGCCCTCACAGAACTTCTCGGCGTCTGGGATCTCCCAATTTGGCCAGAAAGGAAGGTCGGGTTTTTGCGCAGTATCATAAAATCACCCCTCCCTCCACCCTTTTAGAGAACTCGCCATCCTCGGGACCTTAAACCCTCCTATCGTCGAAAGATAACCAAAACAGGTGCTTCCTAAGCTCAAACACCAATTTACAAAGGTCGACGTTGAGCTTGATATCTAAGTACCTACAAGCTATAAAGAAATACACGAGCATTCTTCAGGCATTGGGCACTAACTGCCCAGGGCACATGGAGTGCTCGACCAATAAAGGAATAAAAAAGGGGTGAAGAGGTCACCTAAAGCCAGCCTTAAGGGTTTCCCTAAAAATGACAAACTCCCCTCATCAAGCTCGAACAATTCTATCATCGGGGCCGGGGGATCTAACATCACAAATAGGCATAAGTTCATATTCACTAGCCGCAGCAATAGTTAAGTGATCTTTTAGCCTATAAGGCTAGTCGGGATACTCTCGAGTGTAGCCTCTAGGGGAATAGTCATTCGTATTATAGAAGTACCTACATCCTCGCTACTACTCGAGCTACTGGATAGATCTCAACCCCCACTACTCGACATTACTCAATGAACTTAAGTCCTAGCTTATGGAATAACTTAAAGTCTCGAGCCTTACCTAACGACTTGAGAAGTTCCAAAGTATTTTGCTCGAGCACGACCTCGCAAAGTTTAGATTTACAGTGGGTATAAGTGAAAAATGAGGGTGTGAACAGAAGTATTTATAGTGAAAGAGACAGGAGGCCAAAGGTCGCCATCTATGGCCGTCCATGAAGACACATGTCACGCATCCAAGCTCACTCTCTGCAACGGTCATATCAATACCGACCTTTATTGTCAGCCCATTTTTCTCGACGACGCGACCTAAGGCGAGGTATTTGTAATTCATGTACACCCCATCCCAGAGCTTGCACTCTAGGAGGAGTGCATGAGGGCCAGTGAAAATACCAATATTGCATACCCGAGGATTGTTTTCCTCAAGGACTTCCTACATGCTCCGCCTCACTTTTCTGCTAAGACGTCCTCGAGAATGTATCCTCGAGGACTTGCTCATACGACTATGAAAACTCACCTCTTATTGTCCTCGAGAATATGTTCTCAGGTCATTGTTCATTAAGAGATCTTCGAGATGTATAAGCCCAACGAACAGACACCTAAACCCCTAAGAACTCTATATCAACTCTAACACCATTAGTCAAACAGTTCCATTACGAGTAGGACATTCCTCACAAACAGGACTTTATCGGATAAGAACATCCACACGATTCCAATTTTATCAAGAATGTACAACCTACCCCTATAAATACCAACCTTGGACATTATTCAGGTCGTTTTCATTATTCCCAGTATATAACCTCACACACATAATTTCCTTTCTGACTTAAGTATCGGAAGGGAGGCGACGAGAACTTACCTCGCTGCCTTTGTTTCAGGTACCGAAAAACTACGATCATGCTCATCCAAAGTCTTCAAACTCGAAAAATCAACAGGTATGATTTTTGATAGCATCAAATAGCATAACTCTTTTTAGTATTGATAGATATATTTACTTATTGGGAATTTATCACGAAACTTGTACTTGCTGCAATTTAAGGAAATCTTGGTTTGATTTGATCAAGATCGAGAAAAGTAGCAGGGAAGAGGAATTAATGAGGAGTTATAAATATTTGATTCACTTAAATCAAGGGTTTGACTTGATCAAATCATAATTGTCATAAATATTTGATTTACTTAAATCAAGGGTTTGACTTGATCAAATCATACTTGTAAAATAATTATTTAATTACTAATCTTTCTTATTCTAAACATCTAATTTAAATTGTAACTTATGCACTCACACTTCGCCTTTCATTCTCTTATATGAATTCTCTCTACTCATTTATTTTACAAGTTTGCTCCTGATATTGTGTTCTGCTAAGAAACTTTCATCTTGTCCAGAGTTTATCATTTTTGTACATAGTATTTTCCTTTTCTTCTTCTTTTTAATGAAACAAACAAAAATTCTCATATATAAATATTTTTACACTAATCGTATTTTGCACCCTTAGAAGACGTTGACCGTGGTGGATATTGGATAAGCGGACAGTACTCATGGGGTCCCTCGAAATGTTGATAAAAAATAGGTTTGACAATTTATAAATAGTTTATAAACATGATACATGAGCCCAACATAGAGAGAGTGAACTCCAACTAAAACAGTAGTTAAAATGTCACAGATTTTTATTTTTATGCAAAGAACAATAATTCACAGTTTTTCACAACCACCAAAATATAATTGCCCTAAAAATAGCACCAACTTAAAATGTGAAGAAATTTCCAAAATTTTTCCATTGAAAATGAAAGTGAAAATAGGAAAAAGTACCCCGATTATGCACGGTGAGAAGCACCTGACAGAGTCTATCTTGTTGATGGGAGTTGTTGTTTTAGTCATAATTGATAGCATCATCATCATCTTCAAGTTCGACTTCAGCGTCATCAGATCCACCGAGTAGGGAGAGGAAAACTAAAACAGCAACCAGTTGAGTGACCAAAAAGTACTTAGCCCGTCTTCTGAACTTCTTCTCTTCCTCTGTTTTCTCCCTCTTAGGTTTGCTCTTCGGCTTTGAACCTAAATTGAATTGCAAATAAAGTTTCAAAATATAAATACTTGGCTTTCCGTTCAAATCAGTCCAGAATATTCATGCCAAGATTAAGAAAAAGGAACTGAATGTTTAATAATGTATTCTTGAAAATCAAATACTGCAATTTTTTCTGAATTTTTTCCATTTTTCTTAACCTGGGACCCAAGAAAAACCAAAAATATAAAAAACTAAATACAACAGATAACAAAGTTTTAAAGGCAGGTGAGGATATTTAACTTTCTGGAATTAAATACAGCAAGAACAACATCCTATAAGTCCTATCACACATACTTTCATACAATACATGCAATTAGGTGTTACTTCACAGCAATCAGAAATGACCTGACAGAAACACCAAAAAAAAAATGCTCATTCATCCTTTCTTACATGTAACAAGCCAAAAAAAAAAAGAAAAAAGAAAAGGAAAAAGAAAAAAGTGCAAACACAATGGCTCATTTTATGGCATGAGAAAGGGATAAAAGCTACAAAATGTCATTCAAAGGTAGCAAAAATTAGAGCTGAGAGATGCAAAGATGTTTTTTAGGACATAACTTCATTCAAGGTCAGCAAGCTAGTAAATTTAATTCATGTATCAGCAATGTGTCCTGATTAATTAACAAAGACAACATGCAAGTCCTAAAGCTATAAACAGAAAAGTTGCAAGTGACTCACTCCACTGTGAAGGACCTCGCCTTGAAGCAGATGTAGAGGGGCCTGATTCAGGAACAGATGCAGATGAATTGGCATCTATATTCTCTGCTTTATGGCTTTCAGCATAATTTACAAGATTAGTATGATCCAAGAGCTTGCTTCGGAGCAACGACGTTTCCTATCAGGCAGTGTCAAATAAATCATAGCCCGTTAATAAGTATAAAAAAACTTGAAGTAACAACATATGTCAAACTGATTCAAAATCTATGAACCGTTTATCAAAATAAAGAAGACGATATTTGCCAACATTATATGAAATATATAGTTACACCAATGATCAAAGCTAAACTTCCATTACTTTCAATGGATCAACAGTAGCAAAAAAAGGTTTTTCTCGGATGAGTGAAGGAATGTATATAGTCAAGAAGAAACATCAAATCAATTGTTATCACAAAATCATCACTGGATATTTTGACCCCATTCGTCATGCTAACTAAGATATATGAAGATTCAGCCAAATACGATAAGTTGAACTGACGGAGAAATCAAGGTTACCTCTTTACGTATTCCATGAGACTATTAGTAGGAAGTTGTATGAAAATGAAATGCTCATCTATGACAAGATAACAAATCCCTAAAATACTAGACAGACATTATTCATACACTGAACTAGGTTCAATTCAACTTCTTGGTATCAAATATAGTGAATTATGTTATTTAGTTCACCAATACATAAATGTTCCAAGTCTAATTCTTGAGAAGTGAACAGATGCCTTGTTACTAGCAAGAGATGATTCATACACAGGGAAATGCACTTTTTATAATCATCAAACTTTTGTGCTATTGGTCATTCGAACCGATTGATTACTTGTGATTTACCCCATTATTTCAGTTAAGGATGGAGATCAAGAATCAAAATATAATGTGCCCTTGGATTTAATAATTCCAATCCTATACTGATTGGAGGCTCAACCAAAGTAAATTTTTAATTAATTTTCCAGTTTAATAATAAGGATAAGCTATAAAAAATATTGCCAGGAACTATAAGATTTGAAAGCTGAAAACCTCAAGGAGTCTGCCTTTGTGGCCCATATCTTCTTCTTTAAATGATTATTCAAATTGGATATTGAACACTCTGCATGAACCAGAATTAGGATAGATTATTCATCATAAATGCTTTATTGTGAATATGGAGAAAACTGCTTTTAGATCAAACAGAAATTAAGAGGATGTTTGGTAGGGATCAAAATTAGATTTTTTAGTAGATTGTAATAGAAGCTTTTGAAATGTGTGGTGGAAAAGTTGTGGGACCTATGAAAGATATGGTTAATATTGATTATTTAATAAATTAAAATCGGATTTTAACCCAAACCAAACATGCACCAAATTGATGAGAGAGAGAATGTAGGGGGCAAAGAAGAAATATCCTTCGAATGGAAAGCAAATTATCCAAACATAAGTCAAAATTGAAAAAATAACTTCAACCGCACTGTAAAAATCTATCAATTAAACCAAAACAACAACTCAGTCCAAATTAAGGGGCATCAGTAAATTGATCTTGGAAAATCCAAGAATTCCTCTCACAAGTTAACCTTGATGTTGCCATTATTGTGCACCTCTACAAAATTTTGCAGTCCTAAAAAATCCTCAAAAAACAAATTGTAATATTTTCGTCAATAAATTTGGAATAACAGTGCAAAGAGTTTGTATTATTGATTATAAACTAGTAGTCATGGTGTCTTAAAGCACCAGCAGTTGAGAGGAAGTCGGTAATGATCAAGTGGCGTTATAAAATTACAGCAATCTAGTGGCAGAATTTAGTATGTAAAATAAAACAGGAGTTTGTATGGTACCTTAAACACCATAGCGGGTTCTACCTTCAATTGTTTCTCTGTTTATTTGTCAAATATCGAACTTTTTCCTTTTGTATCCAGTTTTATATTGAATGAGACAGCCATAATTTTTAAGCAAAATTCAGTTACAAATCCAACTCAAGAGTACAATCAGCTATTATAATAATTACTTACAAACAGCATATATAAAGAACTCACGGGTAATGCATGAAGTGTGAAAAGCACATGGCCAAGAACCACTGCGTCCAAACTTGTTGGCCTGCATTAAAAACAATTGCTTTAGACAGCAATTTTCCATACAAAGCTAAAAAATATATACAATGAACATAATCGTGTCTGGAGCATGGACGAATTACCTATTCTCAAAGAAAAAGGACTCCTCGCCTAGCCTAGAAGACAAAGCACCATAAGCACTGGTAGCTCTCCTGTAAATCTGTCCAAAAAATTCTATAGTAACTTGACACATTCTGCTTTGTGTAATGGCAACACGAATTGACAAAATTTTAACTCAAAAATTTAACAAGATTTTAATTATTAAGTTAAGGAACCCAAGTACCTAACCTTTAAAAGGCCTTTTATCTTCAGTAAGCATTGATGCTCACTATTCAAACATCTAATTAGATGATCCTTCCTAGGGGACACTCCAAATCAGGGGGAGGACCAACATATCATTTATCAGATGGATAGTTTTCTAATATTGCCTTAATTTTAGCAGCCACTTTAGCCACTTAATTTCATACATTGACTGTTGCATCTCGTATTTGTGATGCATTAAGCCCCCGTTTGGCCCCCATTCTATCCAAATTTTAATGGTCGGAATAGTATTTTTTTTAAAAATGTGTGGTTGAAAAAGAATGAAAAGTTTTTTATTTGCGTGTAATATTATTTTATGGAAGATTGTGTGATTGAAAATAAAAGAGAGAAAAAGAATGAGAATGAGAATGGAGGCCAAACGGGGGCTAAATTGCATCTAGAAACCGAAATTTTTTTTATTGCTTTTCCTTTCTTGCATCTTGTGATGACACCCTTACATAATTTACAAGTAACATGACATTTCCTTGTACATTTTATGACAGGACTATATAAATTAACCTGCAATTACATGAAACAACTTCTACTAGAACTCTTCAGTCTTTACAGTTCATCATCCTCAAATTCACTTATTTCTTATTGATTTATACCTGGATTAATAAACTCCAATAATGATATTGGCGCGGGACTATAGTACAAGCAATGGCCAACAGAGTTACAAAATGTATAATCCAATATAACAATGGCATATTTTAATGTAAAGAATTCATCATTTATTCTGCCTTACACATTGAACCCATCCAATTGGATTCTTATCTTTTTGGAGAACTGGTGTGAGCCAAAAGATAATAATAATTGTTTCAATATTTACTTCGACATTTAGTTTTATATTATTTTCCTGGATCTTTAGTATACTATGAGTTCATAAAATATTATTGTACAAAACCTAATGTAATCTGAAAAAAACAATCGGTGTTCTCCTGTTTTAATTTGCATGATTTATCTCGTTTAAACTTATACCACCAAACTTGCGTTATTCAATATACAATCCATGAGATTCTCGTAGATCATATGCAGAATACATCTAATTCGATTCTACTCTTTTTAGAAAACTATTGTGAGTGAGAGAAATTATCTTTCCCATAATTGCTTTGATATTTTGTTTTTACATTATTCTCCAATATTTTTATTACACTAAGTTATACGGACATGGCGGAATGTGATTTTTCAAAAAAGTAGAACACAATCACATCAATTAAATTCTTCATTTCTTTGAAATTTAAAATTTATATATTATATATTTATTTTGGTACTATTTACTATAGGACATGGCACATTGATAAGGAATGTCCCTAATGTATCCTTAAAGTATCCTGGAGTAGTGTAAAATTTAAAAATAGAACATGACATGTGGCTTGTCATACCCATGTCATAAAGCGTCCAAGGATAGTCATTTTCCATACGGACAAAATAAGATAAGTGTTGAATAGGGACATGTCATCATAGAAATAGTGTCTACACATCATAGTTATTACATTATGAATTCAACTTTAGACAAAACTTAATGTAATCTCAAAAATCAATTGGATTTCTCCTATTTTAATTTACATGAATTTAAATAGAAACTCTTTCCACCAAGCTTATGAAAAACTAAGTTTAAATGCAAATAGAAAGTACCTCTTCTTCTCTTCTCTCTGCATTCTCTGAAGTTATCCCAAGTAGTTGTTTCGTAGCACGAACTTGCTTTAAGTGTAAGACTTTTCCTATCGGCCATGGGAGATCAGAGTAATAAATCTTGTGCGCAGACTTACCATCAGACCCCACCCAAAGTTCATACATGACTGCATCTGCAAGCCATGACTCAACCATTGCCTTGGTTGATACCCATTCAGGTATACCACGAACCTCAGCGTCCAAATCAACAATACCATCTTCCTTCAAACTACAAATAACTCCACCCTTCTCATTGTTATAGGCCACATAATTACCAGATTCAACGAAAGGTATTTGATCTGGTAAAAATAGAACCAGTAGTCATGAGATCAGATTTTCTTTCTTTTCTTTTATTTTTTTCAATTTAATTGCACAGATAAGAGATCATACCACATTTTGAACGTATAAAAAAACTAAAGTAATATGGTCAAGCATGGTTTAACAGTCTTGCACATTCAAAACCAGCTAAACCACAACTAGATCCATATTCTTCCAAAAAGTTGTACCACTAATGTCTGAAATTTGTATCAACTCAATATAATAAAAATCAAAGAATTGTCTCCTTACTTAAGTCATATATAATATGGTAATACCTATCGTGTTGCTATATTTTGCATTGTCCAAAGTAATGTTGACCTAAATACTCTTAAGGATTCCCAAATACTTATAAAAAAGCACACCCAAAAATATAATCGAACAGCCACAGTAAAGTACAATATTCTAACACAGTGCACTGCTTCTCAATTTCACCCCAGGAAAAAAAAAAGATATATTGAGCTTCAGTGCTTGCACCTTGAAAATTTAACAAAACAATTACCAGTAGCTAACAATAATTCTCGACGGATGCATGATAGCTAGATAAACAACAGACTCTTGCAAGCAGTACCCAAAAAAATAAAAAAAAATAAAAAATTACCAGAATCTGGGTGAATGAGATTGAACTCCAAATTGAAAGGGAGGTGGGATAATCTAAGATAAATGTAAACTGGCAGACAGGTCGGACAGGCAGTTGGCAGTCCAAAACAAGATTTCCTTGCTACCAGAGTCAGTTTTTCTCTCTCTACATTACCATGTTCCATATCTCGATATAGATATAGATGCGTGTAAATTGAATTTGAATTTGACAGATAATTTGTTGGAGAATAGAAGGGGGAAGAATCAAACAGGTAAAACCCTAATAAGGGTACGCGTAGGAAATGTTAAGCTCCTGTTTCGCCCCCATGAAAATAGGTGAAAATGTGAAATAGTGCTTATTTTTTTTCTTTTTTAATGAGTAGCCGAAAATGAATAAAAAGTATTATTTTATAAAAGATTATATAATTCAAAATAAAAAAATGAAATGAAATTTAATTGGGACTAAACGGGTGCTAAATTCATCAAATGCCACTCAAACTTTATGGTGTTATCATAACAACTTATAATTCATCACAATAATTCAATTTTATACTTAGTGTCATTAAGATCATCCAGTTTGATTTTATTTCACCATAGTCATCCAATTTTATATGACGTTTGACCATGTTCATCCAATCTTTTTTTACCATTTTTACTATATTTATAAGGGGTAAAGTGGCAACTTTGCATTATAAATAAAAAAAAATTATTTGAAAAAATTACTTAGAAAAATAAAATAAAATAAAATCCTATTTTAAAATTAAAAAGAAACTTTTATTTTCTTAAAATTCATTATATATATATATAGCTGAGTAATCATTGTGAAAAAAAGTCAAATTGAATGATCATGAGACACTAATTGTAAAGTTCAATGGTCATTGGTGGAATTAACCTATATAATGGAACGACAATGCAAGTGGCCGGATTATTTCGTGAAATGATGACGACCCCACTTCATTCCTTTTTCATCCTTTTTTTTTTTTTTTTTAGATAACTACTATTTTGCAACCAATGTTAAAAATAAGTAATTTACTTGTATTCATACTAATAGTAAAGTAGGTTCATATTTGGTTTAGCTTAAAATTTTTGATAAAAGTTTAATTCAAAGTTAACAATTAATTTTAATCGTCATTTCATTGAATCCACGGCTTTATTAATTTTATAATTAAACATTTCATAACATAAAATAACATGTCCAAATATGTTAGGGTACCCAAAAAATATATTAATAATAATTTTTTAAAAAATCACTTTTCACCCTTATTCCTTTTTGAGGAATAACTGAAGCAAAAATCTCAAACTTTTGAAACACTAGCAGACTTTCTCCAAACTTTTCAAACGTTACAATTATCATCCCAAACTTTTCAACCATTGCATCACAAGCTCATTTGGAAGTATATAAATTTAAAAACAAGAAAAATAAAAGAAATAAAGAAAAATAAAAATCTTTATCTTCTTCAGCTAAAACCCTTCACCTCACGCCAAACCAAACCAAACCAAAACCAATATCACGTAGACAATGTCAACATCAGCGTTGGCGAACTGCGGCATGCATACTCCTACCACTTCTCACCCACCTCGTAAAACACATTATTATTCCTCTCCATCCCTAACCCTAAAACTCAAATTAAAACCATGTTCTTACCTTGGATACTAATCAAGCATTAATTATTATATTAATTGAAGATATATTTATTATAGTATGATGTTGCTGAATGTTATTATGTGGCCAATTTTGTGAATTAACATCCCCAAACCTATAAACTGAAGGATTTGCCGTGGGTATCGTTAGATTTGCCGGAATTGTTAGAAAAAATGTGTGGCTCTTGATGCTTTGGAGGCTGATTTGATCTATATATGTTGCTGTTTGCCCGATAGTATGTGTTCGTGGTTCATGGATGGTGGCTGAGGCGAGAAATAATTTATTGCTTGGATTTGATTTCTGGTTAGGAGATGGGGTTAGTAGTTTTTAGGGACGATAGTGACGTTGGTTTCATGGGTAGCGATGACTGTGGTTTGCGAGGAAATACACAAAAATGACCCTTACACTATAGCAAAAATTGACATTGACATTTGACCAATTAAATGAATTAAAAAAAAACAAATTAAGTTAAAAAGAAAACTTCACAGTATTTTCCCATTTTACCCTTCAGACTGTTTGATAATTCTGTCACCGACCGAACCGACCGACCGACCAGTGGAGAAATCCGATCGACCGACCACCGGAGTTACACCAACGTCGCAATCAACGATCATCATCTACAGTGGAAGTAAAAGAACCGGTTAGTTTTCTGATCAAAACTCCAGTTCGAATGCTTTTTTTCATAGTTAGCATCCTTAGTAATTTTGGTTGAAATTAGATCCATATGCATGAGTAGCTAGATTGTGGGCATGCTGGAATGTGAAAAATGAGATTTTTTGCCATTTTTTGGAGCTCAGTGGCAGGGAATGGCGGTTTCCGGCCGTTTCCCTGCCACCGGGCCAACAAACGGCCAAAAACGTCGCGTAACAGTCGGTACCAGTCGGTAACCCGACTGTTAACAGTCTGGGCCAACTGTTAACAGTCGGCCCAGACTATTAACAGTCAGGTATCTGGGCCGGTGATCCGGCCCAGATAATATTTAAATTTTAATTTTTTTTTATAATTTTTGTAATTAATTAAATTTTTTATTTGATTAAATAGTAATTATATTATTTACTTATTTAATTTTTTTTTATCATTGTCAATATAATATAATAATTGAAAAATTGTAAAATTAACAATGTTGATTATTTTTTTATGAAATTATCTTTAATTTATTTTTTCAAAATTTTTTATTTATTTTTTAAAATTATTTTTATGAAATTATCTTTAATTTTTTATTTCAAATTTATTTAATTGTTATATTTGTCTTTTATATAATTTAATAATTCAAATATTGTAAATTTAACAATGTTGATTCTATATTTTTATGAAATTATCTTTACTTTATTTTTCTATATTTTTATGAAATTATCTTTAATTTATTTTTTTAATTTTATTTAAATAATATCTATAGTCTAAATTTTAAAAAAAGGTAAAGTAATTATTTATTTAATTTTTATATTTGTCTTTTATATAATTTAATAATTCAAATATTGTAAATTTAGCAATGTTGATTCTATTTTTTTTATGAGATTATATTTAATTTATTTTTTTAAATTTATTTAAATAATATGAATAGTCTAAATTTTAGAAAAAGGTAAAGTAATTATTTATTTAATTTTTATATTTGTCTTTTATATAATTTAATAATTCAAACATTCTAAAATTAACAATTTTGTGTTGTTCCTTTTTTTTTTTTATGAAAGAATCTTTAATTTATTTTTTCAAATTTATTTAAATAATATAAATAGTCTTTACATTTTTCGAAAATGTATTTAATTTGAAATTTTTTGTTTGTAAATATATTTTCCAAATAATAATTATTTAATTTAATTATTTAATTTTTATAATTTCCTTTTTTATATAATTTAATAATTGAATACATAATATTGTTCGAAATTAACAATTTGTTTTGTTCCTTTTATT